CCAACATCTAAATATTGCGAAAAAAAAACGAAAGAAAGAAAGAAAGAACCATAGATATTTAAAAAATAAATAAAATGGAAAACCCACATATCTAAATATATCCAATGTTAGTTTTGTTAAATACTTTAAAAACCAAACAGAAGAAAGTAGAAGAATCAACATGACAAATTTAAATTTAATGAGAAAATGGAAAGAAAAAAAAAGGGAAAGAAAAGAATGAAATTTAACAGGTTATTTTCAATTTTCACCAAACTAAGAAAGAAAAGAAAAAAGAAGTAAAGCACAACAGAAGGTGAGTTAAAGAAATAAATAAAAGATTTTTTACATCAAAAATCTAAGTGAAAAAGCTGACAGAAAGAACTGGACACAAAAAAAAAATTGTTATCATTCCAATCGAAACCAACATCTAAATATTGCGAAAAAAAAAAAGAAAGAAAGAAAGAAAGAACCATAGATATTTAAAAAATAAATAAAATGGAAAACCCACATATCTAAATATATCCAATGTTAGTTTTGTTAAATACTTTAAAAACCAAACAGAAGAAAGTAGAAGAATCAACATGACAAATTTAAATTTAATGAGAAAATGGAAAGAAAAAAAAGGAAAAGAAAAGAATGAAATTTAACAGGTTATTTTCAATTTTCACCAAACTAAGAAAGAAAAGAAAAAAGAAGTAAAGCACAACAGAAGGTGAGTTAAAGAAATAAATAAAAGATTTTTTACATCAAAAATCTAAGTGAAAAAGCTGACAGAAAGAACTGGACACAAAAAAAAAATTGTTATCATTCCAATCGAAACCAACATCTAAATATTGCGAAAAAAAAACGAAAGAAAGAAAGAAAGAACCATAGATATTTAAAAAATAAATAAAATGGAAAACCCACATATCTAAATATATCCAATGTTAGTTTTGTTAAATACTTTAAAAACCAAACAGAAGAAAGTAGAAGAATCAACATGACAAATTTAAATTTAATGAGAAAATGGAAAGAAAAAAAAGGGAAAGAAAAGAATGAAATTTAACAGGTTATTTTCAATTTTCACCAAACCAAGAAAAGAAAAAAGAAGTAAAGCGCCACAGAAGGTGAGTTAAAGAAATAAATAAAAGATTTTTTACATCAAAAATCTAAGTTAAAAAACTGACAGAAAGAACTGGACACAAAAAAAAAATTGTTATCATTCCAATCGAAACCAACATCTAAATATTGCGAAAAAAAAAATGAAAGAAAGAAAGAAAGAACCATAGATATTTAAAAAATAAATAAAATGGAAAATCCACATATCTAAATATATCCAATGTTAGTTTTGTTAAATACTTTAAAAACCAAACAGAAGAAAGTAGAAGAATCAACATGACAAATTTAAATTTAATGAGAAAATGGAAAGAAAAAAAAAAAGGGAAAGAAAAGAATGAAATTTAACAGGTTATTTTCAATTTTCACCAAACTAAGAAAGAAAAGAAAAAAGAAGTAAAGCACAACAGAAGGTGAGTTAAAGAAATAAATAAAAGATTTTTTACATCAAAAATCTAAGTGAAAAAGCTGACAGAAAGAACTGGACACAAAAAAAAAATTGTTATCATTCCAATCGAAACCAACATCTAAATATTGCGAAAAAAAAACGAAAGAAAGAAAGAAAGAACCATAGATATTTAAAAAATAAATAAAATGGAAATCCCACATATCTAAATATATCCAATGTTAGTTTGGCTAAATACTTTAAAAACCAAACAGAAGAAAGTAGAAGAATCAACATGGCAAATTAAATTTAATGAGAAAATGGTACGAAAAAAAGGGAAAGAAAAGAATGAAATTTAACAGGTTATTTTCAATTTTCACCAAACTAAGAAAGAAAAGAAAAAAGAAGTAAAGCACAACAGAAGGTGAGTTAAAGAAATAAATAAAAGATTTTTTACATCAAAAATCTAAGTGAAAAAGCTGACAGAAAGAACTGGACACAAAAAAAAAATTGTTATCATTCCAATCGAAACCAACATCTAAATATTGCGAAAAAAAACGAAAGAAAGAAAGAAAGAACCATAGATATTTAAAAAATAAATAAAATGGAAAACCCACATATCTAAATATATCCAATGTTAGTTTTGTTAAATACTTTAAAAACCAAACAGAAGAAAGTAGAAGAATCAACATGACAAATTTAAATTTAATGAGAAAATGGAAAGAAAAAAAAAGGGAAAGAAAAGAATGAAATTTAACAGGTTATTTTCAATTTTCACCAAACTAAGAAAGAAAAGAAAAAAGAAGTAAAGCACAACAGAAGGTGAGTTAAAGAAATAAATAAAAGATTTTTTACATCAAAAATCTAAGTGAAAAAGCTGACAGAAAGAACTGGACACAAAAAAAAAATTGTTATCATTCCAATCGAAACCAACATCTAAATATTGCGAAAAAAAAAGAAAGAAAGAAAGAAAGAACCATAGATATTTAAAAAATAAATAAAATGGAAAACCCACATATCTAAATATATCCAATGTTAGTTTTGTTAAATACTTTAAAAACCAAACAGAAGAAAGTAGAAGAATCAACATGACAAATTTAAATTTAATGAGAAAATGGAAAGAAAAAAAAAGGGAAAGAAAAGAATGAAATTTAACAGGTTATTTTCAATTTTCACCAAACGAAGAAAAGAAAAAAGAAAAAAAAAAGAAGTAAAGCACAACAGAAGGTGAGTTAAAGAAATAAATAAAAGATTTTTTACATCAAAAATCTAAGTGAAAAAGCTGACAGAAAGAACTGGACACAAAAAAAAAATTGTTATCATTCCAATCGAAACCAACATCTAAATATTGCGAAAAAAAAATGAAAGAAAGAAAGAAAGAACCATAGATATTTAAAAAATAAATAAAATGGAAAACCCACATATCTAAATATATCCAATGTTAGTTTTGTTAAATACTTTAAAAACCAAACAGAAGAAAGTAGAAGAATCAACATGACAAATTTAAATTTAATGAGAAAATGGAAAGAAAAAAAAAGGGAAAGAAAAGAATGAAATTTAACAGGTTATTTTCAATTTTCACCAAACTAAGATAGAAAAGAAAAAAGAAAATAAAAAAGAAGTAAAGCACAACAGAAGGTGAGTTAAAGAAATAAATAAAAGATTTTTTACATCAAAAATCTAAGTGAAAAAACTGACAGAAAGAACTGGACACAAAAAAAAATTTTGTTATCATTCCAATCGAAACCAACATCTAAATATTGCGAAAAAAAAACGAAAGAAAGAAAGAAAGAACCATAGATATTTAAAAAATAAATAAAATGGAAAACCCACATATCTAAATATATCCAATGTTAGTTTTTTTATATACTTTAAAACCAAACAGAAGAAAGTAGAAGAATCAACACGACAAATTTAAATTTAATGAGAAAATGGAAAGAAAAAAAAGGGAAAGAAAAGAATGAAATTTAACAGGTTATTTTCAATTTTCACCAAACTAAGAAAGAAAAGAAAAAAGAAGTAAAGCACAACAGAAGGTGAGTTAAAGAAATAAATAAAATATTTTTTACATCAAAAATCTAAGTGAAAAAGCTGACAGAAAGAACTGGACACAAAAAAAAAAATTGTTATCATTCCAATCGAAACCAACATCTAAATATTGCGAAAAAAAAAGAAAGAAAGAAAGAAAGAACCATAGATATTTAAAAAATAAATAAAATGGAAAACCCACATATCTAAATATATCCAATGTTAATTTTGTTAAATACTTTAAAAACCAAACAGAAGAAAGTAGAAGAATCAACATGACAAATTTAAATTTAATCAGAAACTGGAAAAAGAAAAAGGGGAAAGAATGAAATTTAACAGGATATTTTCAATTTTCACCAAACTAAGAAAGAAAAGAAAAAAGAAGTAAAGCACAACAGAAGGTGAGTTAAAGAAATAAATAAAAGATTTTTTACATCAAAAATCTAAGTGAAAAAGCTGACATAAAGAACTGGACACAAAAAAAAAATTTGTTATCATTCCAATCGAAACCAACATCTAAATATTGCGAAAAAAAAACGAAAGAAAGAAAGAAAGAACCATAGATATTTAAAAAATAAATAAAATGGAAAACCCACATATCTAAATATATCCAATGTTAGTTTTGTTAAATACTTTAAAAACCAAAACAGAAGAAAGTAGAAGAATCAACATGACAAATTTAAATTTAATGAGAAAATGGAAAGAAAAAAAAGGGAAAGAAAAGAATGAAATTTAACAGGTTATTTTCAATTTTCACCAAACTAAGAAAGAAAAGAAAAAAGAAGTAAAGCACAACAGAAGGTGAGTTAAAAAAATAAATAAAAGATTTTTTACATCCAAAATCTAAGTGAAAAAGCTGACAAAAAGAACTGGACACAAAAAAAAAATTGTTATCATTCCAATCGAAACCAACATCTAAATATTGCGAAAAAAAACGAAAGAAAGAAAGAAAGAACCATAGATATTTAAAAAATAAATAAAATGGAAAACCCACATATCTAAATATATCCAACGTTAGTTTTGTTAAATACTTTAAAAACCAAACAGAAGAAAGTAGAAGAATCAACATGGCAAATTTAAATTTAATGAGAAAATGGAACGAAAAAAAGGGAAAGAAAAGAATGAAATTTAACAGGTTATTTTCAATTTTCACCAAACTAAGAAAGAAAAGAAAAACGAAGTAAAGCACAACAGAAGGTGAGTTAAAGAAATTAATAAGAGATTTTTTATTTCAAAAATCTAAGTGAAAAAGCTGACAGAAAGAACTGGACACAAAAAAAAAATTGTTATCATTCCAATTGAAACCAACATCTAAATATTGCGAAAAAAACGAAAGAAAGAAAGAAAGAACCATAGATATTTAAAAAATAAATAAAATGGAAAACCCACATATGTAAATATATCCAATGTTAGTTTTGTTAAATAAAACACCAACTCAAAAAACTAACAAACTCAACTAGACAAAATCAAATTTACAAAATTAAAAAACAAAAAAAACCAGTTATTAGTCCAGTAATATGATGCCTGGGTAGACAGAAACAAAAGCACACAATCGAACATCCACAGTATTATCAAGAAAAAAAAGAAACGAAATCGAAAGAAAAGAAAAGCAAGAACATAATGGAAAAGCCACACCCTCAATATTGCCAGAATAATAAAGAAAAAGAAAGAAAGAAACATATATTTCATATGGTATTGACAAGCCACACCCTCAATCTTCTCAAGCAAGAAAAAAACACACACTCCTCGAGCATGGTTCAGTCGCTTCAGTTCTGCCGTTCAGGCGTTTGGCTTAATCCGCAATAAAGTTGATCATTCTGTATTTTATAGGATTACATCTCCTGACAAGTGCATCTATTTGTTAGTCTATGTTGACGACATCATTCTCACCGGAAGTGATCAAGACAGAATTCGTCAGTTAAAACAGCATTTATTCAGTGCATTTCAAACAAAGGACCTTGGGAAGCTGCGTTACTTCTTGGGAATTGAGGTGGCGCAATCTAGACAGGGCATTTCTATTTGTCAAAGGAAGTATGCCTTGGATATCCTCGAAGAAACTGGTATGTTGGGGAGTAAACCAGTTGATACACCCATGGATCCTAATGTCAAGTTATTGCCCAGACAGGGGGAGCCGTTATCTGATCCTGGACGTTATCGGAGGCTAATTGGGAAGCTCAATTATCTTACTGTGACTAGGCCAGATATTTCTTTCGTTGTTAGTACGGCTAGTCAGTTCCTTGATTCCCCTTGTGATTCACATTGGGATGCTGCTGTGAGGATCCTCCGATACATCAAAAGAGCACCAGGAAAAGGTTTGTTGTATTCAGATAAGGGAAATACAGAAATTTGTGGTTATTCAGATGCTGATTGGGCAGGATCACCCTCAGACAGGCACTCTACTTCTGGCTATTGTGTCTTCTTTGGAGAAAACTTAATTTCGTGGAAGAGCAAGAAACAACCTGTAGTTGCTCGGTCTAGTGCAGAAGCTGAGTATCGTGCAATGGAAAATACTACCTGTGAGTTAATCTGGTTAAAGCAGTTGATTCAGGAGCTTCATCTTTGTGAACAAAAACAACCCATGACACTCATCTGTGATAATCAAGTTGCGCTACATATATCCTCTAATCCTGTCTTTCATGAGAGGGCCAAACATATAGAGATTGATTGTCACTTCATTCGAGAAAAGATTCAATCAGGAAAAATAAAGACTGTTTTCGTCAACTCCTCTGATCATCTAGCAGATGTCTTCACTAAAGCTCTTAGAGGTCCTCGAGTTCAATAAATTTGTAACAAGCTTGGTGCTCACAATATATACGCACCAGCTTGAGGGGGAGTGTTAGAATATATTAGATATGATTAGATATGATTAGATATGATTAGTCTGATTAGATATGATTAGATATGATTAGAGCCTGTAATTATTCTGATTGTATTAGGTCTGGACCTTTCATATAAGCCCATTAGAGTCTCTATATATTGTAACTCTCTGAATTAGATCAATACACAACATATTATTTTATATTCAAGTGAAACCATTTGTTAATTTCATTGCCCATAATGATTACAGCTTTGCGCTTCAATATCAAGTAATTTTCTTTTGTCTTTCCTCCCCTTAAATTAACTAGAATTGCTATAAACAATTCACATAATAGCTAAACTTCACAGAGACAACTAAACCCAAGGATTGCAAGATAGCCTATAAGAATGTACCTGCAACTGACTCTGTCTGAAGAAGTTGTGAAGTATTCATATTCCAATCACTGACCAGGATCACCTTCGCTCCGGCTTCATATAAATATTTAATTGTAAATAGTGCATTAAAAACTGATTGATTCTTCTGGTAACTCTTTTGCTTGAGCAATATGTTAGAATCAAATCTAACCATGACAACTTTTCCAAAAAGCTCCTCCCTAGGAAATTCTCTAAGATTTTGTATATGAGGTCGATCATTCAACTCTCCTCCATTGCTAACGTAAATCTAACAGCAAAACCATAATCTTTAGAGCCACAATGAAATATACAGCCAATAACACGTTCTTTCAAGTAAGATTACAACAACCATTATTTGATATACAACCAATAACATATATTCTAACTGGTTATACTATATGATATTAATGGTCTCTGATTTTATCTAATTGATATTTTACTTTAAGAATTTAAGACAAAAAGAATCACAACACTCAAACAACACATAATGGAAAACTTGATATCCAAACAACCAAAGCATATTTATTTCTACATTAGTGCCAATAACCATTAGGCACGACTTTTTTTTGAAATAGTATATTAGAAAGTATTAGAGATATAAAATCATTCTTGGGCATGCACCTAACAACCTACAGTTTTAGAACAGTTGTTCCTTCATGTGGTATCAAAACCTTTGAGACCAAGTGATTAGAACTCAGGAGTTCATTCCTAGCTCCTTTGTTCTTAATAATTAAAGTGAGTTTCAACACAAGGAATGTACTTTGTCCACACTTGGAGTCCAAACTCCAAAGGGCTTTTGCATAAGGTGTCATCTTAGATATACATCCAGCAGCTTAAGCTTTAAGGAAATTTTAAGTCCTTGACGTACTATCAAAGCTTTTATGACCTAAGGGTCAGGAGTTAGATCCATGCCACCCTTGCCCTTCATATATCAACTTAAATTTCAACACAAGGTATGATGGTGTTGCGCTTAAACTTTCAAGAGATTTGGTAAGAAAGAGGAGAAAATGCATTTGGGTGACAATAAGATTTCCTCCTAATCCTAAAAGAAAAAGATATGAAGAAACGAGGAAACTAAAGTTCTCAAAAATACAACAAAGCTGTCCAATTTCTTTAACATCAGCCACAGAAATCCTCTTGAGATACTTATGAGTAGAGCACCAAATAGAAGTCATAATGACCAGATTCAATGCATTTGCTTTCTCTATGTCTTTCACCCTCTCTCATTCTCTCTCTTTTCCTTCTTAAGTGTTATCATTTATCAGAGCAAAGAAAATTCTGGCACTTCTCTAGAAGCATACTTATTGTATTAAATTTCAAAAAATATGAAATCAAGTTCAAGCACATATTATAAGGAACTGAATTTTACAATGGTGAATTTTCAAAACATAAGATTGTAGCACAAAAGGGACATAGACAGTATAGTACCTTATGGTTAAACGAGCTAGCAACATGATCTGCAAACTCCCTATTGTCTGTCAGAAACAACATCAAACAAAACAACCTTATAAGGCTTAAGAAAAATTTAAAACTTAAAATAAATAAAAAAAGTTCCCTTAAGTAAAACAACCTTGCAGAGCCAGTGAGGCACCATTATATTTCTGAAATTTTGCAACTTTTCCATTATAGGAACATTTTTTTTTATTGAGCAATTTAGGGCAGTCAAAGAAGCAGAAATTGTTTAACAGAACTGTTCCATAGAGTAGATTCAGAAGGTGGCCCATCAATTTCTCAAGATTGAAGCTGTTAAGTTGTCAGAACAATCAACCAATGAAAGTTGAATACATAAAGAAGAGAATAATAACAGATACAAAATCATCCACCCATTTAGATAAAGAACTAACATAGACACTCTCAGTCTCTCACATAACAGTTAAATGGAAAATTAATACAGTAACATTTGTTCACACACACACAGACAGACTGACAGACATATATATATATATATATATATATAGAGAGAGAGAGAGAGAGAGAAAGAGATATATGTATATATAAAGAGAGAGAGAGAGAGAGAGAAAGAGAGATATATATATATAGAGAGAGAGAGAGACATGTATATATATAGGGGTGTGCATGGAACGGTTCATAACCGGTTTTGACAAAATCTGAACCAAACCGGTTTTAAATGGTTTGGTTTTCAAACCCAACTGGTTTTTTTTTAAAACCGGTTTTTATTTATCCAAACCGGTTTGAAACTGGTTTCAAAACCGGTTTATGGTTCATAACCGGTTTTGATTTAAAATCAATCAAAACCGGTTTTAATTCAAAATCGGTTTTAATTCAAAACCGATTATGAACCATAAACCGGTTATCAAGTTTAAAACTGGTTTTATAATAACTTCAAAACCGGTTTTTGATGAATTGTGCTATTTTTTTTGAAATAAAATAAAAGTTACCTTTATTATTTTTGTTGAAATAAAATAAAATACATTGTGCCATCATCCAATTTAAATTAGATCCAAGATAAGCTGAAGAAAAATGTTGTCATTTCCATCAACCAATTGAAAACACTCTCCAAAATACTAGTTTTTTTGCTACTGGAAACTCTTCCATGAATAGCATACTAACATGAATCGCATGCTAATATCATTTTGGTCAATTCTCCCATTTCTGTCTCATTGCAACCTTCATAGCAACCAGTGAATGTCATCATGTCCTTTTCGTATCTTAGGTGAAGCATTAAGAAATGACCTTTTTCTTTAGAATTTTCACACTCTTCTTCCCAACATGTTCTATTTGTGGAGTGAATCTCAAAGCTTTTTAATTTACACGGCACCGCAGTTTTTGAACCTCCTCAGGAATGCCATTATTGGAAATCTTGGCATCAGTTTTGGTAAAATATAGTACATGATGCTTTTTTATTTGAGGAAGAACCTGCATTATGTATACAAGAAGCACATAAAAATGTCATGTTCAAACAAGATTGCTGTTTTCATAAAATGAACCTTCAATCAGTAAGATCAGACATCAGAGAACTTACAATATGATAATCATATGACATTTTAGACCAACTAACAGGTATAATGGAATATAGGTATCTTGTATCCACCCTATTGTTCAATTCTAGAGGTAGTTCCTTCAATATTTGAATCTCATCTCTTAAAGACTGAATGAAATAATCTACATCGAATACTCCTTTACATGCATTTTATTATGCTTATGCTTGAGAGAAATAATGAATGAAACATGTTATTCCTTTATATGTTTCTAATATCAATTAGTAGTTATTATCTCTCAAGAAACAATGTGAAGATGAGGATAGTAATCATACCACAATTAATTCCATTGCAAGGGAAGAAAGTAAAGTACTCACATATAGAATATCAAAATCCCCAAAGGAACAGTAATAGTAAGTTTCATATCATATTCTAACATTATCTTGCAAGATTTTGTTGCTTCCTTTTTTGGTGCATAGATTTAGGAAATATATAGCAGCAGTACTAGTTTGTTTGAGTAAATTTGTCAAAACAGGGGAAACTTCATTAACCAAAACTAGAGTGGGAAGGGACAGACAAAATTTGCATTGAAAGATTCAAAAGTGTAACCAAACATTGCAAGCACATTAAAGAATCATGAAATAATGAACATTAGATGAAGGCATTTTATGTGGGTCTGTCTATGTGGGATGAAAGAATCACTAGTTATAAGGTCAGACCCGTAACAGTGATCTTCATCTACTACTCCTAGAAACTAGGCAGAGAAAAGTGCCCATTTCTTCTTGTTCCTTATAAAGATATGCTCAGTGAAAAGAAAAAGAAAATAAAGCTATCCTTTATTTGCTATTGTAAAAATAGCAACTAAACTTTATATCTGATGAAGCTTAAATAGAGACTCAAAAGAATTCAAGAAAATTAAAAACACCCTTCACACAGACCAAAGACCATAAATGTCAAGGACATACATAAGTCAACAAAATTTCTTTTTATGTTATTGCTTAAACTTCTTGATGCATCACCTGGATAGACATGAACATCACTTCCAGAGCAATCAAAACTATCAGAAAAAGCCTTCAACTTTATCAGTGAATGAAATACTTAAGAAGCATTAAATCTCGGAACTGAAACTGGTATATTATGTTTCCGTAAAAAACCAATTCAATGATGATTGTAAGAAAGATTCGATCATGGACCCTCATCAAACAGTAAAAGGCATGTTTCAGGAAAATTTGCCAGGAATATCAGCAAAATTAATAAGAAAACTAATCAAGCCCCAAGTTATGAACAGAGGATCCAAGACCAACAAAATCACTTAGAGACCCCATAAGATCGTAAATAACATTAGGGAGCAAAGAACATACTAAAACAAAACCAACTGAACATCAGAAAGTTAACAAAGAAAGAAGCAAGCAAGTCGTTTAAGCATTCACAAAATTTCTAATCATGTAGAGTGAAAAGAAACAGATAAATTACCCAAGTTTTGAAAGAAACCTGTGATCGGCACCACAGAAATGAGCAATTGTGATCCTATAGAGGGAGGAAAAAATCAAACTTCTTTGCAGCAAAACAAGTCGATGAATCAAAAGAAAAGAAAGAGAAAATACCTACAATAAAGTCACCGAATAAGCAAAGAAGGGTCCTTCAAAGAAAAAACCCCAATTTGGTTGGGATTGGGATGAATTTTCCCTTCAAAAATCGAAGAAGAGAACTAGAGAAGAGGGTTGAGCCTATTGCAACCAGAAAAGCGAGAAATTGGAAAATTGAAGTTAAGGGGTGTTTGGTACAAGGAATTCTAGAAAATTCCCGGGAAACTGAATTTTTATAAATTTTTAATTTTCGGATATTATCGTAAACTGAATGTAAAAATTATATTTTTGAAAATCGAGATTTTCGGATAAAAAAAAATTTCTCCTCTACCAAACACCCCCTTAGGGTTCAAAATTATACATGTTCACGACGATGCTCCCTCTCAAGTCGTCACTTGGGGGTGTTTGGTACGAGGGTTTTTACAGGATTTCGGAAACTGAAATTTTCTAAATTTTAAATTTTCGAATATTATCGTAAACTGAATGTAAAAATCATATTTTTGAAAATTGAGATTGCCGGATAAAAAAAAAATTATCCTCTACCAAACGCCCCCTTGGAGAAAATAACAACAGTGTAAGACCAAAACAAATGGATATCCATTATTGCAAGTTTTTTTTGGGTAACCAAACAGATATAAAAAATAAAAAATAAAAAATAGTTTGACATAAAATCGGTTTTTTAAATGGAAGAGAGATATTCTTACTATCAAAATTTTCTTGTTTTTTTGGAAACTGATCCTAATTACCTCTTTGAGGCGAATCAGAACCCCCCGGTATCCCCACGGGTTCGACTCTTTGAGCCGCCTATGGGACTAATCCAGAGTTCGGGTGCGAGTCCAAGGATTACGGTACTTATGCCCCTCCCCAGATGGTGTTGGTGGGATTCGAACCGAGGTCCTCTCCCACCACCCAGTCCCTATGCTACTAATTGAGCCACCACACTTAGGTACTATCAAAATTTTCTACTACCAATTCACTACCTATCTTTATTTTTATTTTTGATAAACAACTCACTACCTATCTAATCACGATTGGATCAACATTTTTTTTTTCAAAAACTTTTTAGCATTCTCTCTCTTTGATTCAATGGTGATTAGATAGGTAGTAAGTTAGTAGTAAAAAATTTTAGTAGAAAGAATATCCTCCCTCTTTTAAATGTAGTCTGATTATGGACCGGTTTGTATCTTTTGAACATTTTGAATATATATATATATAAAGGTTATACTTACAATCTTTTTTTTACAACCTCTTACAACCATATCTTAGCAACGTTGATTTCCGACAATTAAGGGTTATGATTTTTGCAAATTAAACTCATTAATTAATTATTAATTCACAATAAATGATAACTGTTGATTGGCGGAAATCAACGGTGTTAAGATATGGTTGTAAGAGGTTGTAAAAAAAAGGATTGTAAGTATAACCTTCCTCATATATATATATATATATATTAGTGTATTACCCGTGCGATGCACGGGAGAAAAATATTATATTTTTTGTCGTCCGCTGTGGTTGGTTAATTACACTGCAAATTTTATACTTACAAAAAAATGTGTTGCTATCTTGTTCTATATTTCAGGTGAAAAAATTACAGCATTGACACAGAACTTTAGAAATATCAACCATAAACAAAAATCTGCTATCCAGAGTGATCAATATTATGCAAATCAAATATAGTTAGCTACTCGATGAGTTATGTAAAAAATAAATACGCCATAGTCACATTTAAATTTTTATATTTTATTTCAGAGATAGACTTTCATTTATTACAATCATATTTAAAAATAATAATAAATAATTATTTTTTGCAAGGATTTGTGTCGTTTGTATTTGAAATTTTACAAATTTGTATTTACAAAAATTAAAACCAAATTTAGGAATTTAATTATAAAAGAAGAAGGATGAAATTTTAATTTAATTATAAAAATATGTTGGTGGGCTGGCCCTTCGGGTCGAGCCCAGTTTGTCACCTCTAACTATTAGCATGTAATAGGTTTTTATATTTATCCACGAAAAAAGGATCTTATAGTTGAGTCTAAGTTTTTATATTTTATCTCAGAGATGAACTTTCATTTATTACAATTTGATTTACAAAATAATAATAAAAAATTATTTTTTTGCAAGGATTTGTGTCGTTAATATTTGGAATATTATAAATTTGTATTTACGTAAATTGAAATCTAATTAGAAATTTAATTATAAAAGAAGAATAATGGAATTATAATTTAATTATAAAAATGTGTGGTCAGGCGGGGCAGGTAGGCCCTCTGGGCCAAGCCAGTTTGCAACCTTTAACTATAGCATTTTATGTAAATAATTATTTTTTTGCAAGGATTTGTGTCATTAGTATTTTTGATTTTTACAAATTTGTATTTACAAAAATTAAAATAAGATTTAGGAATTTAATAATAAAAGAAGAAGGATGAAATTTTAATTTACTTATAAAAATGTGTTGGCACGCGGGGCGGGTAGGCCCTCTAGGCCAAGCCCAGTTTGCAACCTTTAACTATAGCATTTTATGTAAATAATTATTTTTCTGCAAGGATTTGTGTCATTAGTATTTTTGATTTTTACAAATTTGTATTTACAAAAATTAAAATAAGATTTAGGAATTTAATAATAAAAGAAGAAGAATGAAATTTTAATTTACTTATAAAAATGTGTTGGCACGCGGGGCGGGTAGGCCCTCTGGGCCAAGCCCAGTTTGCAACCTTTAACTATAGTATTTTATGTAAATAACTATTTTTTTGCAAGGATTTATGTCATTAGTATTTTTGAATTTTACAAATTTGTATTTACAAAAATTAAAATCAGATTTAGGAATTTAATTATAAAAGAAGAAGGATAAAATTTTAATTTACTTATAAAAATGTGTTGGTGGGCCGACCCTCAGGGCTTAGCCCAGTTTGCCACCTCTAACTCTTAGCATGTAATAGATTTTTATGTTTATCCACACAAAAAAGGCTCTTATAGTTGTGTCTAGTTTTTATATTTTATCTCAGAGATGAACTTTCATTTATTACAATTAGATTTACAAAATAATAAAAAATCTTTATTTTTTGCAAGGATTTCTGTCGTTAGTATTTGAAATTTTATAAATTTATATTTACAAAAAATTGAAATATGAATTAGGAATTTAAATATAAAAAATGATAAAATTTTAATTTAATTATAAAAACGTGTTGGCAAGCGGGACGGGCAGGCCCTCTGGGCCAAGCTCAGTTTGCAACCTTTAACTATCAACATTTTATGTAAATAATTATTTTTTTGCAAGGAGTTGTGTCATTAGTATTTTGAATTTTACAAATTTGTATTTACAGAAATTAAAATCAGACTTAGAAATTTAATTATAAAAGAAGAATGATGAAATTTTAATTTACTTATAAAAATGTAATATGTCTTTATATATTTATCCACACAAAATTGTTCTTATAGTTGCATCTATATTACTATATATCTATATTTTTTACAGTTGCCTTTAAAATCGGCTCTTTGTGGTCTGTGTATTTGTGACATATATAAGAGATAAAGAGTTTAAAAATATTTGAGTTCGTATGTTTAATATTTTATCAAACACTTTATAGTTGAAGTTGAATCGGGTAATATCGGATACAAAAAAAAAGAATAGGGTAATATCAAAAGACCATTCATTAGTTTAGTTATATAATAATAAATATTATGAATAGGCTTAACAAAATATTATTAATAGGCTTAACAATTTTTTATGCAGAAAGTTATGGTATTATTAATAGGCTTAACAATCACCAATGCAAAAAGTAGTGAGATATTAATATAGTTGTTTGACATCCAATTTTAAACTTTTTTTCCCACCCATGAAGTTTAAATTTAAAATATTTTTTATCAACTATAAATATATTTTTATAATTTTAAATACATTTTTTGTTTAATTTATAATTTTATATTAAATTCGAATTTATATATATCTTTTTTCCACTGCAGAAATATTAAATGCTGAACTCTTTTCCCACTTATCAAGTTCAAAATTTAAATTAAAAAGTTTAAATTTTAAATATTAAATATTTTCTCACCCAATAATAAATATTATTAATAGACATAATAATTCTTTATACAAATAGTAGTGAAAAATATCCGTAGAAAGTTGTGCACTTTCTCCAAATAATAGCTTTTAGTTATTCATTCATGACAAAGGAAATTGTGTTAATTATACTCTTTAAAAAAAATAAAAGTTTAATTTCTTTCTTATATATACTAAATTAAAATTTTTATTTTTATAGTGATTAAATTTTTATAATTTGATTTTTTACAGAATGATAAAGGTCAATTTATTTTTATTTAAATTTAAGATTTAAATTCTTTTGTATTAATTATACATTTTTTATATAAATTTTTCTCTTTTAATTTATGATTTTTGTACGTTTTTTTAAATCAGTTATACATGTATATTTAAGATGTTCATGTTAAATAATTTTGTTATTTTACAACTTTTTTTAATGTATTTGTTTTTTTTTATGCAGCTTTGATAGGGCTAACAATTACCCATGCAAAAAAAGCGGGATATACAACAAAAGAAAAGTAGGTTTTTTTTTTTTTTGGAGTTACCCAACCCTAATTACCTCTTTGAGGCGAGTTGGCTTCCTCCGGTATCCCCACAAGCTTCGACTCTTTGAGCTGGCTATGGGACTAATCCGGAGTGCGGGGGTCAGTGATGGCTAAAGGTTCAGCCCCCTCCCCAAGAATGCATTCAGCGGGAATCGAACACATGTCCAACCCCAAAGTAAGTCTTTTCTACTTATAATATACAACAACAAAAAAGTAGTGGGATATTAAATAAGCTGTCTGCCACCAAATTTTTTCCAAAAGTTTTCCCACAATTGGAAAGTGAAAAATTCAAATTCAAAATTCAAATTTAAACATAAATTCGAAATTTAAAAGAGTTGAGTTATTATTAATTTGAAAATTCCAATGTAGAAAGGAGTGTGATTTTAAATCAGTTGTATGCCACCAAAAATTATTCACATAATTTTCCATTTAATTTATTTCCAGATTTCGAATTTATTTTACAATATAAATAATTTTGTTATTTTATAATGTTTAATG